TTAATTATATCCAACCATTTTCCAATTGAGGTTTGAAGAACAGCTGGAGCCTATCCTGGCAAGCAGTGGGCACAAGGCAGGAAACACCCTGGATGGGACGCCAGTCCATTACAGGGCACACACAGACATTGACACACACCAGGGCCAGTTTTCCCAGATTTGAACTAACTAATCAGTATGTTTGTGGACCTGGGGATGAAACTAGAGCACCTGGAGGAAACATGAATACAGGAAAAACATACAAATCCTATGCAGATTGCACCCCAAATCCCACGGCCCCTGATTACCCTGCCACCGTGCTGCCCCAGTTAATTACATGTTCAATAATAAATCTCAGGGTGAAATAAAGTTGTTTCAAATAAAGGGTCATGTACTGTATCATAGCAAAGTGATGACCCTTTTCTCTTGCATAAAGTTGCATTTAAATATGAGAACTTTTTTTTCATATAGGTTGTGGTTGAGGTTGTTTATAGAGGCGATAAACAGCTCACTTAACTTTCCCAAGCAAAGAGTTTACAAGGTAATGAGCCAGGATGAGAAAAACAAGCATTGTAGTTTAACCCATATATATGGGTTTTAAATAATTTTGAATGCATAAGAACATAAGTACTGTAATAAATAAGAGGAATCATTTAACCCATCTGTCATGTTTGGTAGTTAGCATCTAGCTGATCCAAGGATCTTGTTTCCTGGAGGAAGCTGGGGTACTGGACTCAAGGGCATGGTTGGGCAGCTTGTTCCAGACTCTCGCAACCTTCTGGTTGAAAAAGTCCCTCCTATGCTTGGTTTTAAATGCACTTCCATGTAATTTTCACTTGTGCCCTCTGGTTCATAATTCACCGTTCGCTCTGAAGACGTCCCTTGTTTCGACTTCATCAGTGCCTTTGAACATTTTAAATAATTGTGTCAGGTCCCCCTGTGAACCTCTCTGTTCAAGACTGAAAGGGTTGAGTTCCTTGTGCCTGTTAGTGGACATTACATACGACATTACCTTCAGTTTCATTAAGCCATGTTTAGAATATGTAGATGGTGTATCAATATAAAAATTTAACATCTTTCATAAGTAGCTCCATGTTTCTCATTTTGTTTTTAGAAATTGTTATAATGGTTTATGATTTTGCTACCCACATGAAAAACCTTGCTGTTCTCTACTACATCTACTACAGTTGGTGGTTGACCAGCCTTGAATTCGATCTAAGTATTTTTGAATTTAATTTACTGATTCTGCAGTGTTGGGTAAATCCATCAGATTTGGTATCATATGCAAATTTGACTTGTTTATTATAGGTACCAGAATCCTGACCATCTACAAAAATCAGGAAAAGCAGTGTCCCAGTATAGATCCATGTGAAACCTCACTAATTACATCACCCAATGTGGTGACCATCTGTTGTCCAGACATCAGACCCAGTACTACTGCTTGGACAGTACCTATACTTGTATCAGGTCCCCTTGTAATCTTCTCTATTTGGGTGCAAGAGTTCAGTTCAGTTCTTCCAACCTCTCACTGTTCTCATCTCAGTTGGCATCTCAGCTCATCTTGTTGGCAAGACATTTTTTGTCCAGGTGTGCCATGAAACTAAAGGGTGCTGTGGTCCAATTACAAGCAACTTGTGTCAAAAAGTGGGAAGTGCGGTGCAGTGGTTTGTGTTCTGGATGTGCAGCTGGAAGGTTGTGGGTTCCCCTCCCAGCTGAGACTGCAGTTGTACACCTGAGCAAGGTGCTTCCGTTGAATTGCTCCCGTCAAATACCCAGCTGCACACATGTGTGCAAATCTGTTGCTTTGGATAAAAGTGTCAGCTAAATCAAATAGCAAAAGGGCACCTTGCTCAGGAGTACAACTGCAGTGTCTCAGCTGGGAGGGGAACCCACAACCTTCCCAGCACATCCAGAGCACAAACCACTGCACCACACCACTGCCCACTTTGTTTGACATAAGTTGCTTGTAATTGGATCACAGCTGACACTTTTATCCAAAGCAACATGCATGCGCTGGGTGTTTTACTGGAGCATTTTAAGGGCTCGGGTGGCCCTTCCTGTGTCGTCCCTGCGGTGAGGCAGTGGCCCTGCCAGGCAAGCTTTTCCTTCGGGGGCCCCGAGAGAGCTGTGTGAGGGTGTAGATACACATCCGTGGCACGGGAAGTATTTCTAACATTAAGCTCAGACTCCTGACTCTGCTCTTGGTAACTATCTGCTAAAACCTGCCTGGAATGCGAGCTGGACTGAGGAAGATTAACATGCCTCCTAGGTGGAGAAGGGGAACGGTACAGAAGAGCAGCAAAGTTATTTACCTTAGGGTTAAACCGGAGGGGGGTTCTGCAATAATCGGCACTTTTTGGAGTTTTGTTTGTCATTCCCTGAGCCTGAGGAATGGGGAGCAATGTCAGCACTCATTTGCAACTTTTTTTTGAAAGAATCTGTTCGGGCAGAGCAGCTGCTGTTATTAGGAACTGAAGTGCATTTTCTCAAACCCCCCCCCCCCCGATCCCCCTAAAAGTGTTTTTGACAGTGCAGTAGTTGTGAAGAATTGCTCTCACCCCAAAAGCAAGCATGGATACTGCAAGTACTATATTGTTATTTGATTCAGCTGACACTTTTATACAAAGCAGCATACATTTGCACACACGTATACAGTAAAGGGATGTATGTTGCTCAGGAGTACAACTGCAGTGTCTCACCTGGGATTTAAACCTACAAGCTTCCAGCTGCAAGTCTAGAACGCCAACCACTGCACCACACCACTGCCTGCTCTTTGACATAAGTTGCTTGTAATTGGACCACAACACCCTTTATGTTCATGGGACACCCAGCATAAAAATGTCTTGCCAATGCAAGACAGGCCCTCAAGGAAACGGATAACTCCCGTTTGTGTGTGATCCTATCTTAGCTCTAGCTGTACAAGGGGTGTCTGGACCCCTATACTGCATTGTTAGACTGGTGAAACCTGGACATGACTTTGAGCTGTAATATTTTCTAGGAGCCTCCATTCTCTGCTCTGGACTGAAGGGAACATAGGCACATGCTTGGATTCGTGATTCCAGGATGTTGTTTCTCTCTGAAAAAGGCGACAATGTCTGACGAAGGCATGCTCACAGCAGGAGCGAGCTGTAATGTGAAAGCAGACCCCTTGTAACCACTGACCTCACCTGGCTTCTGACAGCTCCAGGATTGTGCATAAGAGCCCTGGGCTGGCAGACAAACTCCGGAAAGCGAGGAGTTTCCTATGCTGCCAGGCAGGTGGAGCTGGATCCCCAGTCCTGAGGGGCCATGGTGAAGATGCGGCATTTAAAATCCTCAGGTATTGGCAGCCAACCCAACGGCCTGCCTACGCATCAAACAGTGAAACGTGGCCCAGGGGACACCAGTGGAGACTGTGCTGAAGTGCATTTAGATGCTGAGAAGAGAAGGTGCACCTTTACACAGAGGGCTGTGGGAGTGTGGAGCCTCCCGATTCCTGGTCTTCTTTCAGGAAATGACTGGATGAGATCTCTGCATCAGTCGGCTACTCATGACCAAACAGGCCTGATGGGCCACATGGGCTCCTCTGGAGCACAGCCATATCCCTCCATCCTCTGACCCCTCCTTCCAGCTCTGGGCCGTGGGAGAGCCGCAGCCCAGGGGGTGCAAGGACACACCAGGCCGCTGCAGGACAGACGGACAAACGCACACTCTTACTCCAGGGCCAGTTTTCCCAGAAGCCAGCTGACCTATCAGCATGTCTTTGGACTGGGGGAGGAAACCGGAGCACCTGGAGGAAACTCACGCAAATTCCAAAACGACACTGGCGGGCCTGTCCTGTCCAGGGCGTACCCCACCCTGTGCCCGTTGCATGTCGCGAGAGGCACCGGCCCCCCTGTAACCCTGAATTGGATGAAAAGGTGGAAGATGGATGGATGGATGGATTATTCAAACCCGGGCTCTTGTTTGTTCTTCAGAAAAACCATGTGCCTTGTGCGGTTGGATAGACATGATTATTTTTTATTATTATTATTTTTACGGGTTCTCGGTCTTAAAGAAGGCTTTGTTTTGCAGGTCCAGATTCAAAACAGTACTTGGGCCTGGATTAAGTAAAAAAATATGACCCGCCAGTTGCCAGTTGCAGACCCAGTAATTGGTGGCGGGTTTTCTCTACATACTGTATTAATAAGAACCTCTTGGCAAACTGAGGTCCCCCATCATTTACTGGGTGTGGAATGGGATATATTGGCTGAAGCTGTGATCTAACCTGGTCCTGCCTCTGGCTAGTTTATAGTTTATAGAATATACTTTTTATAGAAAGTTTACTTTCTTATTGCTGTGTTGCTGTTCTGAAGTCTACACTAGGTGAAAGTGTGCAGACATTGAGACGTGCATATAGAAGTCTCCTACTGCATGTGTAAGTTTAGATGGGCACACTGTGCTGAAGTTGCCACAAACGAGTCCACATTTGTATAGGCACTTACAGTAAGACAGCACTTGGATTTTAAAATGATGGTATTTCAGAATCCTCTCCCCACAGTACAGTTTTATTAAATAATTGCTAGATAATTCAATTGTGTTCAGATGCTCCGTGCTCTAAAAATGATGTCGTATCTTTTAACCGTTTTCCAAGATTTAAATTTGATCGTAATGTGGGAAAGACGAGTTTCCGACTCCCAAGTCAGTTGTATAGTAACGACATGGAGCCACTTCGATATAAATGCCGTTTTGTGGGAGACTGGGGTGTTACCGAGAGGCTGCTGCTTTGTTTATCTCCCTTGAGTGAAGATAAAGAGGGGTTTGGTGTGTGTAATTGTGTGTGCTAGGGAGAGACCGAACGTGTGTGTGTGAGAGAGGAAAGTAATTTATGACGGATAACCTCTGGAGGCATCGTGGATCATCAGAGTCCCACTTTGACACCGTCCGGGGGGAGGAGAGAGAGTGAATGAATGAGGGAGGGAGCGAGCGAGCGAGAGAGAGAGAGAGAGAACAAGAGAGGATCTCGGAAAAAAAAACTTCAAGGTTCCCGAAGCAACTTTTTTTTTGTCTTAAATGCAGAAGTAGAAGCGGCCGGCGGCGGGTGGAAAGCGGGTCTAGTCGAGGAGTGACAGAGCTCTCGTGCTGCGCGCAGTGCTGGTCCCCCCGAGCCCGTGCTCATGGCCGAGGACAAGTCCCGCAGCTGAATTCAAACTTTTTTTTTTGAACTTTTTTTTTTGGAGCTTTTCACGGACCCAGCGACAGGTTTGCCGTTTTTTTTTTATAAAAATAAAAAATGAGTCGGTGGAAATACAGGACGAGGACAGCTATTTGGATGCGGTTATCGCAGCTATTTCTTATCACTCTGCTACAAGCGACAACGACGACGAGAGCAGGTAAAATTGTAGCCATGTCTTGTTTTTTTAAGGTTACACAGCATCTGTATGCATTTTTTTTCCCTTCAATATAAATTTCCCATAGTTTGAGCCTGCTGTAATTCATTAGTTGTGATGGGCGACTACCCAACCTTTTAACGTCTTCACTTTCAGAACAAAAGGCTGGGAATGTAAGACTTCAGAGTGCAGCGACTGTGAACGGTCTTAATTTCATAAGTGATTAACAGAAGAATGAATAGTTGGACGAGCGCAGCCGAAGTTGCGTGTGCTTGCTCACGCCGCGGTGCTCTGATTCTGGGCTTTGCGGCTCAGAAAGATACATTATCTTTCGTCAGGATCTTGCACATCTTCAGCGCTTGGCTGCTGGTTTGAACTTGCTCGGGTTCCGATAGAATCCGAGGGGTTTTAGCCTGATTTCTCCGTCTTCTGACCAGGCGCTCGAAGATGCTTTCGAAAGGTCTGAAAATCGTGCGTGGATTCTGACCTTGAATTCTTGAATTATTTCGAACTTCCTGGTGTGTTTTGTCACCTAATGTGTTTTTTTTTAATTTAAAAGATCCAGAGAACTGTATTTGGTACATGAAGTTATTGTATCTTGTAAATTTCATCTGCTGCACAAGGTGCAAGGAGTTGAAAAGTATTTGAATTCTGAAGTATTTTAGAAGTACCTGGGGGGTCATTTCTCTTAGACTTGTGACTTTTGCGCGTTAGCAATCGAACAAGACACGAAACGTTACAAAATGACGCGATTTGTACAAGGGTACTTGGAACTGACCCTACCGAAATTATTACTCTGCATCCTGTGGCGCAGTGATGTCGTTAGGTCGTTGCAGTTGCATTACAGGAAACAAAGTATAAATGCATTAAAAGTGCAAATCCCTGTGCGAGCTCGGGGGCCTGACGTCGCGATACTGTGGTAAACCTGAAGTGCTCATTTCAAGATGACCAGGCTGGGAGGCGTGAGGACGCGTGCGGACCGGGGCCGTCGGCTTGCACAAGCGGGAGTAAAACTGCTCGTGCTTCTGAGCGCGCGGGAGAGGGGGCTCAGTTCTTCTTGGCAGCTCGTGTTCATCCGGTAGACGAGTCTAAATCGCGGCGTTTAGAGAAGCACCGCGATTGAGAGTTGGCGTGGCTTGTGCGCTTCACGGTTTTTATCGGTCGGAAGGGGGTGACACGGGGCCGTGGGCTATGGTTTTTGCTGACCCCCCCCCCCGTCTCTCCGTTCGGATAGCTCGGATAGCAGGTGTCCTTCAGCGCCCTGTCACCCCCCAGTGAAGGAGTTTAACTCTTCAGCGGGCGACCCGACTTCCTCTCCCTCGTGCCCTTTCTCCGCTTTCCAGGATCGCAGTTCGTTCGCCCGGGGCATCCCTACAGCCACCACCCGAGCAACAGGCGCAGGACAAGAGACCATTTTAAAACCCCACTTTAAAAAAAAAAGGGTCCGGCAGTGACTCGCGGAGGAAGGGTGTTGGATAGTGTGTTTTACCTGCTGTGTCCCTCCCCGCTCCCCCGGGGTCTGTCTAATGGGGCATTCGCTTCTCCAGCGCCGACGGAACACGTCGCCTCAGGCAGTTTCTGAAAGGATACTCGGCCGGGGTGGCATTTAACAATCCCATCATTTAACACCCCATCATTCTCCTTTCAAAGGTGATAATTAATCCCATTTCACTTTTTAATGGCCTCCCTTTGGGGAGCAAAAAATCAACAACCTGATTAGTTCAACTGCAGCGCAGCGATAATTAAAACGGAGGCACGTCACAGATGAGGGCGACTGTCCATATGGTTGCACAGGCTCTCCAAGGGCTTAAATGGCTCATTGCCACGGGAGCACGGAAGCGCTCGGGAAACATCCCGGCTAACCTCTCCCGTACCTGCAGCACCCCCTGTCTGGAAGGATCGCTTATTGCAGTTAGCTGCACCTGTTCTGAAATGTGCGGGCATCCGTCCTTGGAAGAATTAAAGAGCAGGAAGGGCACATTCTTAATGATCTGAATGATCACACCAGGCTGTGTCCCCAGATATCCTCTCAGCTGTGCTGCGAGTCGATCAGCAGGGCTCGGCTTCTCGCATCAGGGAAAACCTGCTGCCTGACGGACTGAAGCATCTCTGCGTTTAAAGGTTTCTTAACCCCTTTGCGTCTGTGATGTTGCGGGATGTGTTGCATATTTCCAAGTAAAAGGCATTCTCCAGACTTTGAGATTATTTTCCATCTCCTTCCCGAGTGTTAAATCAAAACTTGGGGGAGATAAAATGGGTTTTTGAGCATGCCGGTTTTTATAAAGCAGAAGTCACTGTGCAGTGTTCCTGTGGGGTCAGTAGCCTTGATGTGTATGGAGCCACTGGGATACCTCAGAGTAAAGCTACCGAGTGCTAAAGCTCTCTCTGCTGTAAGGCCAAGGACAGGTGAGCAGGGCTGCTGGTGAACCCCTCTGTACTTGAGCCAGTAGTGCAATTGACAAGCCTCTGGCAGCGGCTGCTATCGGGGAGAAGCTACACCAGGAGACCAGATACCACATGCCAGTGTGAGAAGAGCAAGTCCCTCCCTCCAGGCGCTGGTGTTTGTAAAGTGATGGAGGTGGTGGACCAGTAGGTGGCGCTCTTTTCTCTGAACCAGGATTTGCACAGCAGTGCCCCAGTAAGGTTACTTTGGACAATGGGGTATAGGAGGTGCCGTACTTCAATACAGATGTTAAACCGAAGTCCAAACTACTGTGCTTTTAAAGATCATATGGCTTTAGTAAGAGCCAGGGTGTTAACTTCAGTATCCTGGCTGGGTCCAGCTCTGGGCTTGAGTCGTTTAGCCTTGCAATTGTGAATGAGCTTCTCCCTTCTCCCTCTGATCTGCTGTGTGGCGGGGCTGTTGGCGCAGGACAGCTGCTGGGGTTTTATGCAGGTGGGTTCTGGGCTTCAGTGGTGGATGAAGCAGATGAAAATCACTCTATAAAGGTAATTATTTTCATCCTCCCAGTCTGCCCCAGGAAATCATAATCCATTCTCTCTTCACTGGCACCTACGATCTGTGCAGGTCCCTGCCAGTTTGTGTTGGGAGGACAGTTTGATTTGAGAAGGAAGTCCCTGGAGAGACAGTGTCACAGAGCTGTGCTATAGAAAGACAGAGGTTCCCCTAAACGTGTGTACTTCTGTGTTCTCCTGTGGACTGCGCCCATTGAATGGCATGTAAGAGCGTGCCATTCAATCCAGATCCTGTAAGAACATAAAAAGTATATAATATGTGGCAAATCTTTGGTAAGGCCCGTTACATTTTACTTTTTGGATTGTGAGGAACTTACCTACCTGATGAGCTCATCCAGCCATTTCTTGAAGACTCCCAGGCCATCCACATCACAGGCACGGCTGTGTAGTTCATTCCAGACACTTCCTGCTCTTTCAGCAAATGTTCTGCACCCGGTTTTCAGCTCAGGTGCACCTCCTCTGAGTTTCTGCTGGTGTCCCCGAGTCCTTGGTTGATGCTATAGTGGGGTACAATGGAGGTGTGGTCAGTCACCCCGTAACTCCACTGGCTGCCTCGGATATCTGTACGGTGATGAAACAAATTGGGGCTGTTGACAGCAGCCGCCCTTCACCCCCCCATTGCTGCAGAAGGAAGCAGAAGAAGGCCCTACGGAAAGCAGGGCCAGGCTTGCTTGCAAGTGCAGCCCTGTTCTTTAAGATCCGCCTCGCCTTCTGGGATCTTTCCCTCCATCCCACGTTCCCAATGTTTTCTCAGTGAGGGGAAAGAAATTCTAACAACAGATGCTTCACCTGCTGCTACTATGTGCACCGCAGGTAACAAACGATCAGCCTGAGTGAAATGCGGGAGTGTTTGTTCTCACACTGATGAAATTGCACTCTGGCTATGGAGTCTTCAGATGACACATAGTCTTGATGATAACCAAGCGCAGTACGTCCTCCTTCAGTAGCTTGGTTAGATCCTAATGATTGCAATGCAGGGAGCACATGTGTACAGGGTGTCTGGCGTGACTGGCCTAGCTGAGGGGATGACAGCCCAGCCCCTCATGACAGCGAGGACTGAGCCAGGGAGCTGCTGCAGGGGTGTAGACCGGGAGGCGGGGGTTACGAGAGGAAGTCCTGGGTGCGAGACGTACTGTGTGTACATTACATAGGTGAGCGGACGTGTGTGAGATTAGGATCTACAGTGCCCTTCCTCCCAAGCGTCTCGTGTAAACTCCATTTGGTGTTTTCAGTTAACCACAGAAACCTCAAGTACTGTAGGGACGACATGTGGCGCACACACACTTGCACCCTCCAGACTTTCTGATCTGTGGTTCCCCTGTTCTTTCTTTGGTCGCCATGTCTGTTTTTTTTCGTGGGATGTCTTCAGGCGTAGCTCCTTTTTCTTATTTGGTCTCACAGCCCTGGGAGATCTCTGGTCGATACTTGTACGAGAAGGGGAGCGCTTGTACTCCTTTGATCGTAGCAGCAAATCAGACTGGCAGACATTTTTTGGGGGGGAGTTAGAGAGGGTGGGCACGTGTGGAAGGGACGGCTGGAGTTAAAGGGTGAAATGGATTCATATTTTATCCAGAAATCAGCAGCTTCTTAAGTTAGCAGCTCATTTGTTCCATTTCTACAGCCCCCCCCCGTCCCTGGATCAAACATCTGGCTTCCAGAGGCTCTCCTCCAACGGCAGCACATGCAGTAGTGATAGGGGATTAGCACTGCGCCCGTCAAGGAATTCATGAATGAGATCTATCTAACCCGTAAACCCACTGATCTGTGGAGAGAATGAGGGTGTTTGATAGGTTGGCGTATGCAGGAGATTGATGATCCAGGTTTAGTGAATACTTTTCCCCTGGGACTGTTTAAGAAACAAGATTCTTAAAATGAGCAGCAAATTATCCCCTTCGTCTGTTTCCGCAGTGCATCTCTGTGTCAGTAAAACCTGTTGCAGTGAGACAGCTCTGTATGCACTGAGCAAATATCAGCTGAAAGACTTTGGAAGGGAATCTTGCAAGGCAGATTTGCTGCTCCCACAGTTA